GCGGGGCTATAATTTTTTTTAAAAAAATCTAAATATAATTAATTTTGTTTATTAATAGAGAGTATGATATAATATTTCGACCTATTTTATAAATGTATCATCCATATATCTATATTAATAGTTTTGAGTATATTAATTGTGTTTTAGGTTTAAATGGTATATCTATATATAGTTATATACACTTAAACGATATTTGGCTTTCTTCTTCTTCTTGCCTCAGTTTAAGAGAAAGATTTTTCTTGCGGTACACCGCGGAGCTATTATTTTTTAAAAAAGATTTTTCTTCCTTAAACTTCCAAATCTAGATTTTACCCCGCGGTACACCGCGGGTAGATTTTTTTACAACAAAAAAATTATTTTGCAAAATTTTAATTTGTATTTGTTTTGTTAATATTGTTTATTTTGTTTAGTGTTTCTGATTTTATAATTAAATTTTGATTTTTAATTCTAGGATTTCATCCATTGTATATTGTTTAATATTGTTTAATATTAATATTGATCTAAACCTGTTGCACCATATAACCCCGTCCCGTAAAATTAAACATCATTTGTTATTTTTTTTGAATAACATTTTTATCCACTACTGGTCGCAAGTTCATGCGGATAAGCCCGTAGAGAGTTGCGGATTTGCGGGTCGACCCGCCAAAAGAGAAGCTATCTTTTGAAACTCTTTGTTTTGTTTAGAGGTTTTAAGAAAATATCCCTAAAAAATAATTTTCATTATATGAAAAAAGAAAAGAAGTAGAAGAAATTATAGTATCAACATTCCCGATTTTTACATCACTCGTTACAATTAATTTTTTTTTTTGCAGATAAAAATCAGAAGTTAACTAAGTCGAGATTTTTAAAAAGATTGTGTAGAGATTTTTGGTAAATTGTTGAGAACATATTTGATTTCAAAATTTTTACTTAAATAGATAAGGAAAGATTTTGTAGAGACTTTTGCTAAATATATGAGAAATGAATTTCAATTAAAAATTTTTACTTAAATAAAACAAATCTAAATAATTAATGCTAATGGCATGTCATTGTAAATACTTCTCAACTTCAGGATTTATTTGCTAATTGTGATCCAAAAATGTATATATAGATTATAAAAACATTATTAAGATATATACAAAATCTTAATATTGTTTTTATATATCTTTTTTTTTTTATAATTACAAACAAAACAAGTATACGATATTGATAGAATGTCCCTAGAATATATCTCCCTATATATTGATGGTTTTACCCTCTCCACATATCCATTCGACATTGAAACATCTCACCATCGTCGAGGTAAATTTTTTTTTATATGTGCTCTGTTAGTGTCGACATCTCACCCCGCCCTGGGTTCAATTCTCCTTCCTATATTCTATCAGATATAACCAATATATACACCAATCTCTCTTCATCATTTACAATCATTAATCTCTTTTCGTCATTTATAATCATAGCACTAACAACAACAACAAAAAAACGCTTTGATCTCAGTTCAACCTTAATCCTTGAGAACCATAAAGATGACGACGGAGTACTACAAAGAAGACGAAGGGATTCATTTTGATCCAACGTACGAAGAAGTCATCCACAAGTATCTTAAACCGAAGCAAAGAGGTGAAGACTGTGGAGACTTCATATTGATGAAGGATGTTTATGCCAAGGAGCCATGGCTGCTGGACCATCCCAACAATTCTTTTTTCAAGGAAGACGAATGGTACTACTTCTCAACAAGGACTCAGATCTCCGAGAAGAAGATTGGTCGTGGTAAGTACCCGAAGCGGAAGATAGACAACAACGACGGCATCGACCGCGGGAACTGGAGGATAAATGCGAAAGAAGATATCATCGACAAGGATACAGGGGATATCATTGGGATCAAGAAAAACCTAACTTATAAGGGCACCAACACGAACAAGAAGCAGAAGAGAGGAGACGGTGCTTCTGCTCCAAGCAGCGAAAGCGGCTGGATTATGGACGAATTTGTAATTGTGTTACCGAAACCGGACGAAGATAAGTTTCAGGAGCTAGTCGTCTGCAAGATTCACAAGAAAAAGGAGTCCAAGAAGGACCATCAGCATGAAGCTTCTTCTTCCTCAGAGCAGCAGCCGATCAAGAAAAGGAAGTCCAAGAAGGAGCATGAGTCTGTTCTAGCTGCGTCTTCCGAGCAGCAGCAACCATTATTATGCGGTTGTAATGAATCAGAGATTCCGAAGATAGCATCATCTCCTTGTTCTGCTGCGGAAACAGAGAGAAACGGGGAGCAGAGTGGAGAAGGAAACATGGTTCACCAAACAGAGAAGAATGCCATGGAGATGACACGGGAAGAAGAAGGAGATTGGATTGCCGATAATGATATATTTGTAAACCGCCAATATCGTGATCAACCATACTCTTGGATTTGAGAATCAGTAGACAAGCCGATGAATCAGTATGAAGCTCTCTACTTCACGAAAACCGTTCAACATTCTTGAAGAGAAGATTTTAGATATCGTAGTTAACTCTTCTTTATTTATAATTGTATCGTGAGATGATGACTCTGCTACAGTCAATTTGTTTAGTAAATTTAATGTTACGCTTTGTTTAGAAACTTTCATGAATAAATCATACCATTCTTTTTTTTTTTTGGTTTGATAACTGATTGTGCATTGAAATGTAAAAGAGACAAGTACAGGAAGTAGAGAGGAAGCCAAGTATACACGTAAACATTGTATGAGGATATCTTTGAAGAAGTAGGAGAGAGCTAGTGAAGAATGTCACTGAAGCTTGGGATAAATATGTTCACCGTGAAGAATGTCACCGAAGAATTCTTCACATTAAAACCAAAAAAATGTCACCGAAGAATTTGGGAACATATGTTCCCAGTACGAAGTCTGCATCTATTGCCCACAAACTTTGACTATTCCACTTCCCTCAAAAACCTACAATATAAGGACAACCATCTGAATAAACCTATTTACTTGAAAGTGTTATAGTTTCAAACATTTCTTTCTGAATTTCTCCGCCTTTTGTACCATACTGTATATATTGTGTCTATCCATTGAAAAAGGTAAGCATTTGCTGAATTTTACGTATTCAAACCGCAACTGATCCGCACAGAACTCACTTGTAATTGTTACAAGTAGAGCTTTCCTGTCTTGTGGTGTTCTTGTTAATGTTTAATGACTGAAAAGTCTGAAATAAATACATTTCTTCTGCTTTTGCTACCGTTGAGAATCTATGCTCTTTGTGCCAAGTCAAATATATATATATATATATATATATATATATATATTTGTATATTTCTTTCTCTTTTGTTGTTATAATCCATTTTAGTTGTTGATATTAATGTGCGTGTTTATTGGTATTAAGGACCAATAAAAGAATACCAAATTATGGTGAGTTCCATTATGTAAAAAAAAATATAAGTCAGATTTCATGTCATAAAAAAAATTAATAATAATTTCAGATTCATATAAATGGATGTTAGTTCCCACCAAAAATAAAAATAAATGGATGTTAGTTCTATTTATCTTCAGTTTATAATTAACGGTCAAGTGGTCGGTTAGATTTTGACACGAGTCAAAATAAAATTATTATTCAATTTTTATTATAAATCGGTTTAATTTGAAGATTTCTTATATTTTTAAAATTTTATAATAGTTTGATGTATATATAAATATACATCAACCCTAAAAACGGATCGCGAGGAAAGGCGTTTGTGATTTGCTTAGGTTTAGACTTGAGAGGATGCGGAACGATGCGGCGGAGCCTAAATACGCGACAGCTGAAATAGCGGTGTGGTGGGACATTGTGGACTGTCCGATTCCCGAGGGTTATGAAGCTCATCGGGTCCGTCCGAGTATAGAAGGGGCGTTCAAGAAACTAGGCTACTCTGGTCCTGTCTCCATCACTGCCTATGGCGACCAAACACAAACCCCTGATAATCTCCTGCGAGGGCTCTCTTCCACTGGAGTCCATGTTGCACATGCCATTACCGGTGAGTCCAATTTCTTATCGATCTGTGGGTTTAAATTTCAAAACGTTGAAATGGTTTCCTTTTAATTTGACTGAAACAGAAAGCACATGCGCTCTCATGTATTCGGATATGGTGGAATGGCGACGTCATATTCCTCCTCCGGCGACAATGATGTTCATATCCAATCAGGTGGACCATGTCTTCTCATTGGATCTGGCCCGGCTACAACAAGAGACGCAATACAACCTCTTTCTGGCTTACTCGGTTAGTTCTAAAGCCATACCAGCTCTTGAGACTTCTGCAGAGTGGCGCTGGAACAATTTACTAAAGTCGAAGACGAAGAAGACCAGAGTGGTTAAAATATATGAAGAAGAAGAAAGTGACCGTGCCATGTTTTATTGTAAATCGTGCGATTTCGATTGCCAAAGCTTGAGGGAACTCAGGAAGCATCTCTCGAGTAGATATCATGCAATGGGAGTAAGCCTAATCCTGTCTCTACGGTAATTAATTAACTAATTGTTTCATTTGTCTAAATTTGAGCAACTAACCTTTTGTTTTGTTTATCGCAGGAACTTTTATGCCCTACTGCTACAGAAATTTCTCCTGTAACGATGAAGTGGGGAAGGAACTTCCCGGCCAAGCCTGAATACGCCACAGCTAAAATTCTGGTGTTGTGGGACATTGTGGACTGTCCGATTCCCGAGGGTTATGAAGTTCATCGGGTCCGTCCGAGTATAGAAGGGGCGTTCAAGAAACTAGGCTACTCTGGTCCTGTCTCCATCACCGCCTATGGCGACCAATCACAAACCCCTGATCATCTCCTGCGAGGGCTCTCTTCCACTGGAGTCGCTGTTTCACATGCCATTACCGGTTAGTCCAATTGTTACTGATCTCTGGAATTTCAACTGCATGTATATATAGTGAAATGCTTTCCTTTTTATTGAAACAGAAGTCAGATACAGAAGAATGTTTTACGATTTGATTGGATGGCAAGACCTTAATCCTCCTCCAGCTACAATCATGCTCATATCCGATCATATAGAGGATTACTTCTCAACTTTTGTTGCCGGTCTTCAACAATGTTGTATTAAATATAAATACAACATGTTCCTGGCTTATTCATTTAGGCCTAACAAAATGTTAGCCCTCGTCACCTCTGCAGAGTGGCTCTGGGAAAGCTTACTGGAAGGTGTTTATTTGTCCTCCTCTCGTCATTGAAATCTAATTACGCTGTTTCTGAGCTATATAGTTTGTTCCACAGTTTCAGAGACAAGAAGACACGTTCTTCAAAGGTGCAGTAGTCAAACGGGTGAACCTGAATCTACCAGAATGTTTGATTGCGAAACGTGCCTTTTTGATTGCAAGAGCCTTGATGATTTCATGAAGCATCTCTCAACTAATGAACATGCATGGGAAGTAAGCATTCTCTCTCAATACATTATTTCATTTTTTCTAACCATTTGAGCAAATACACTACAACATTTTATTAATTTATAGTGATATTAATTTCTCTATAAATTAATATTTATTATTTTGTAGGATAAATTAATATTAATTTATTTATAGAAATATTTTTTAAAAATGAATGATATAACAAGAAAATAAATCAATTTACTTAAATGATATACATAGATTTAATTTATGATTTGTGGCATCAATTTTTGTATTTAAATCGTCTATGCAACTATCGAAATCAAAATGATGTATATTCAAAATTTGAAAATTTACAAATAGTTTTGTAGATTTTTATGAAATATTTTTGTAGGCGATGATAAACTAAAATAGTTTAAAAACACAACATAACAGTTTTAAGAAAAATTCATTTAAAAAACACATAACCATATATTGATATATTATTTTTATGTATATATATATATATATATATGTAATTTACATAATCTATACTAGTATAATCGCATCACTTTTTGTGACGGGTGGGTAAAAAAGCTTTCGGGTATATCGGATATCCGAACCATTTTAAAAATCCCTTCATAAAAAATTTGTTGGGTCGGGTTATATTTAACCCAACTCATACACCGGATATTCCATATTTAATAATTTAGATTTTTAGAAGATTTGATTAAGATTTATAATTATGGTTCTCCTATCATCTTTGTTTGATTTGTTTTTAACTGTTTTGAATCATCATATAATACATAAAGTAAAAAAAAAAATCAATTTTTTTTTCTGAATATACTGTGATTCGAAATTTTAAAAACGGACATATATTATCCAATTGACGAAAATGTGTGTTCAACGTTCTACATCGATTAAAATATTTAGACAATGATTCAAAATCATTTCATAGATAAGAACATTAATAAAATAAATGAGTTTTTTGGCGAGATGGGTTTGGCGGGACGGGTTTTTGAATCAACAATAATAAAAAGATTAAAATATCATTAATCTACCGCTTCAATACGGGATTTAATCCTTATTTTTATTAATATAAATCACAGGATGGGTTAAGAAATTACGAAACGGGTTATATTTCGGAAATGATTTATATGGCGGACGAATTTGAATCAATATTTATATACCGTTTTAATACGGGTTAAATCCTCAGTTTATTACTCCCTCCGTTTCATAAAGAGTGTCGTTTTAAGGTTTTATTTTTGTTTCACAAAGAGTGTCGTTTTAGGTTTTCAATGCAAAATTTAATGATTTTTATGTTTTATGACTATTAGTATTCTGCATATTGTTTTACTATTGGGCAGATTATGTTTAGGTATATAGTTAATGATGTTTTTGTTTAGAAAAAACAAAAAATTTAATGTTTTCTTAATCTGTGTGCAAAACTTTAAAATGACACTCTTTGTGAAACAGAGGGAGTAATAATTATCTCGTGGACTCGTGGTATACCGTTACTTAATAACAATTGTAAACTATAATATAAATAAATATGTTATAAAGAGATACAATTTACAAAATATTTTTATACTAACTTTAAAATTAAATCATCCTGCGGTGTACCGCGGGTTAAAATCTAGTTATTAATTTATGATATTATTGAGATCATATTTTTACATAGAAGCTTCAAAAAAATTATTATTTTATTATCTTATTGAATTTTGTCAATTTTTACACCGACCCAGTATTAATTTATGGAGGTTTTACTGTAATACTTCCTCCATTCCAAAATATAAGATGTTTTAGCTAAAAGCATATATAATAAGAAAGTTGTACTTTTAAAAAGTTTAACCAATCATAAACAAGACTATATAAAATTAATCTAAAAGTTGCATAGAAAGTTGAAAACATCTTATATTGTGAAACAAAAAAATCTCTCTAAAACATCCTATATTATGAAACGGAAAGAATATGTTTTAAGCTTTTTCCACTCTTTGTCAAGCAGGAGTCTTGTATTCATGAGAATATTCGATCATTGGAGCTCGAGCGAAGCATTCGCCTCCTAAACGAGGCAAGTTTTTCTTAATAATAATTTATACATTTTCTTTTTTCTTTTTTTATGCGTAGAATCCTTTCTAAATAGTTTCACTTTCTATTGTCCTTTCAGTTCCTTGTTTCCACAGTTTTATGTTTTCACGTTTCCAAATACTCTTGTTTCTTATATACTCTTGTTTCTTATATACTTCTTGTAGGCAGAAGAAGATATTCCAAAGAGCAAACGTTTGAGGAAAGCATTTCGGACGGGTTTTCGTTCTTTCCATATTCATCATCGTGGAACTCGACGTCTTACTAATCGTGGAGCTAAAAAATGTCAATAAATTGGTTGTTTCATATACCCGCATCTGGCTGAAACGAGTGTTGTCTTCCCAACGGCAACATGATCAGCCGGCAGCATCGAGAGGGAGATAATAAAATCGGTTGTGTTTTTTCCTTGTCCTCGAAACTTTTATTTTTCGTTTCTGCCTTTGTTTCAAAATGGACTTTATTTTTCGTTTTGTTTGTTAAAGCAATGGTTATTTATCTATTTTTAGATTACTTGATCCTAATGTTATGTTTATATCTTTTTAAGATCCTTATGATGTGTGGGTTTAAAAAATTTTCAAGGGAGAATTGATTATATAAGAGAATTATATGATGATTTGTCTATGTATTCATTCTAAATTATACATCGTTAATATATGCTTTTTCAAAATTAAAACCCCATTGTATCCTTTCAAAATTATTTTATTTCCTTAAATAATCTGATTTGTATTTTAATTTATTTTCTTAACTTATCTCTTTATTAATAATAATTCAACATGTAAGAAAAAGAAAATTATACAATAATTTAGAAAAAAATTAAATGAAAGTATTATAATTATTTTAAATATATATATATATATATATATATATATATATTTCTTTCTCTTTTGTTGTTATAATCCATTTTAGTTGTTGATATTAATGTGCGTGTTTATTGGTATTAAGGACCAATAAAAGAATACCAAATTATGGTGAGTTCCATTATGTAAAAAAAAAATATAAGTCAGATTTCATGTCATAAAAAAAATTAATAATAATTTCATATTCATATAAATGGATGTTAGTTCCCACCAAAAATAAAAATAAATGGATGTTAGTTCTATTTATCTTCAGTTTATAATTAACGGTCAAGTGGTCGGTTAGATTTTGACACGAGTCAAAATAAAATTATTATTCAATTTTTATTATAAATCGGTTTAATTTGAAGATTTCTTATATTTTTAAAATTTTATAATAGTTTGATGAATTAATTATAATATTTTTTAAAAGATTTTATTTCCTTAATTTTTGAATTTGTTTCTAAATTTTTGATTATTTTTTATTTATTAAGAAATTCTAGATTACACGAAATTTATATTTTAATTTTCGAAGAATATAGGCAAAAAACATAAGAATATGTTTTCTAATTTTTTTGGACGAAGAGTAAATATTAGACAAAGTATTCTAACTTTCGTAGAACAAAGAGTAAATGATAGAATACCTATTCTAAATTTAATAGAAATTGCAATTCTAATTTTTTAGAACAAAATTCAGTTCTAAATTTTCTAGAACATGTAGAGAGTATAGAACACTTAATCTAAATTTCAATAGAACATGTTCATTGTATAGAATACGTAATCTAAACTTCAGAAGAAGTATTCTAACCATTTTATATCGATTTTTATAAATAAGAAATGATAAAAAAAAACACACATATTCTATATATTGTATGCCTTCTCGTAACCTTTTCATTACTATTCACAATTTATCTTTAAAAAATTGATTGAAATTAATAAAAAGGGTAGTTTAAGAAAAAATAATTTTCAATTTTAGAATGCATAGATGGACAAATCATCAAATAATCCTCCTATATAATCAATTCTCCCAACACCAAATGGCTCTAACTGCAAAAAATGTTATATGTCAAAGACTTCAATGATTCGCAACAGTTGGTCAAGGACAACAGGCATCAATCATCTCGCTGTAAACAAAATTCTAGCCACAAAAGATACTTTTGAGAGCACATATCTCTCGGATGTAGCCCTAGGTTTTCGGAATTTTCGGGTTATTCTGTTAACAAAATCTGATGATACCTAGACTTAAATGAAATGGCATCCAGGAAAAGAAGTGGCCGGCAACCAGTTTGAAAGCCATGTATACAAGATTGGAAAGACATAAATAGCCGCTGAAATCTTCTGTCCTCACCAACCACCAGATCAACCATACTTCCAGGGTTTGTCTCCACTACCTTATTCACAAAATGAGGCAAATGCTTATATCTATTATTACTTGATTGTAATTTGCAATTACATTGTATTTCTTTAACGATTAAAATATAAAAGCTTTCAATTTTGTATAATCTGTACTCTTGGAAGCCTTTGTCAACAGCTCTAAAACAAAAAAAAATTAGAGTTTTTTCGATCTGAAAAAAAAATAAACAAAATTCAACTGAAACTGAAAATTAAGAAGAAGAAACTTACGAGTTGATCAGGATTACGTGAGAACGCAGAGATCATTTTGGGGCGAGAGAGGATTCTATTGCAGACGCTGTTCCAGGATCGGTTAACACAGGAAGCGAAAGCAAACGATTTAGCCGGCAATAGAATGTTATGTAGAAGGTCGTCGTTCATGGAGGCGATGAAAACCATGTCATTCATAGCTGGCTTCTTCTTCGATTTCTCGCTACTTACCTTTGTCATCTCCTTCTTCGTCTGAGAGAGACGCTTCCGCCGCGAGATACAATTTTTTTCCTTTTTTTCTCCGGCGAATTTATTTGGGCTTATTTGTTTGTTAAAAATAAAAGTTACATTGGGCTTTCCCAGAAACGGCCCAATATCCGAAAACGGGTATCGTGAACATGTAATTATACTCCCTCCGTTATTTAATATAAGATTTTTGTTGAAAATATTTGGTTTAAAAAAGATGGATTTTCTCACTTTTCTATATACAATTCTTAATGATAAATTATAGAATTCAAGAAAAATAACTAAACATTATTGGTTTAGAGTTGTTGGAAATTATAAATCACAAAAAATAATGTATTTTAATATGTTTGTTTATTATATCTGAAAAACTAGAAAATCCTATAATAAAGAACAGAGGGAGTATTTTTTAATTGAGACCCAAGTATTTCTAGAGAAACACTTTTTGAAACTGAATAGTTCTCAAGTAATAATTATGTAAATTTTGGATCTCTATGCCTTTTAATGTAAGGGTTTTTTTTCTGCACGTCTGTAGAAATCATTTCAGTTATCAAAGCGCAACGAAACAAGAATACATAATTGCTAAATTATAAACCAAACTGGATTAAACCAAAATTTGGTTTTTGGTTCACTCAAATATCCTACATTCCGGTACTTAGTCGGTTATCTGTTGTCTATACGGTTCGTAAATTTTGAATTTGTAACTGAAAATTATTCGGACATTGCATTGACAAGACAAAACAAAAGAAGAAACCCACAGAAACTGAGATAAAGCCTTAGAGAAGAAAAATTCAAAAGGGAGCCCATAAGAATTGAGCTAGTAAGAAGGAACAAAAGACGGACCAATTTGGCGTTAATGCTCTTGCTTCCAGCTGCAGCCATGATTATCGATCTGAGAATCGCAGGACGATGATCTTCAGCTCAAAACTCTTTGAGGAAGAAAATTGTTCTTGGAGAGACAGGCTTGGATCCGATTTCTTTTTTTCGACCAATGAAAAAATGTTTTCATTAACCAAAAAGAGCAACCAATCTTCATTTGCCACGTTGCTCTAACATCCGAGCGAAAACACTTCTTCCGGGAGACCCAACATATGCCTCTAAGACCACCATTATCCATGGGCTCTTAGCCAAATCTTAAAGTAAGATTTGTTAAGAAAAAGCTTAAATATAAACCTAAAAACTCTTATATAAGAGCTCTTTCTTCACAAATCTTAGCTTAAGATTTGGCTAAGATTCATCTAAAAGCCCATGGATAAGGACAGTGGCGGACCCAGAAATTGTTTTTACCCAGGTCATTAAAAAAAAAAGGAGAAAAATTAAACCTATCATGTCAAGACAGGGACTTGAACTCAGGATAGGGAGGTCATGAACACACAAATACCAACTCAACTGATGTTTTTTTTCTAGTTTCTTACACATAAAAAAGTTTATATCATTATTTTACCAGGTCAGTTGTCCACCCTCTCTCCTTACTGGGTCCGCCATGGATAAGGGTGCTCTAATATCACTGTTTCATTATTTCTCTATTTTTTTAATACTCTAACACTCGACGACATACACCGTTAATGATCGTTAATGATGGTCTAACAGAAGGAGTACAGTATTTTATTTCACCAAACCGGATATTAAAAAACAGGAGTATATACCGGTTCTAATCATACCAATTGGGTCTATTAGTTGTGGTTTGACTTCGTCGTTTTGATTTTCTTTTTGTTGTCAACCAACCACCGTGCTCAAAAAAAAATCCAGTATATATCGGTGTTGACTGTTGATGAGCTTCGACTTTTAGTGGAGTATTTACCAAAAATAAATCTGCAAAATTATTAATTACAGGAGTATCTTTTAAGTCATGAATGTACTGTATTTAGTTTGACTAGTGTTTTTTATAAAGAAGTTATGACTATTTTATCTGCTAGAGCATTAAATTAAATTCATCATTTGGCTTTTTACTGTCTTACTAGTGGTAGCAATAAGATTTAAGGTTAGTATTATTATAATCATATCCAAGTCATACGATAATATTAGCACTTATAGTATCTGGAGAAGATTGGTTCTCCCACGGGAGAGACAGTCTTTCTTTGCTAAGTCGATCATGGAGTGGCTGTTTGATAATTTGGAGAGAAGAAATGGCCAGGGAAGTGAGGACTGGCCGACTCTGTTTAGTGTAGCGGTTTGGTGGAGTTGGAAGTGGAGGTGTATGAATGTCTTTGGGGAAACTGGTAAATGTCGCGATAGGGTGCAGTTTCTTAAGGACATGTCCGCAGAGGTTACAAAGGCCCATGAACTCGCTAAGGGCAACCAAGGTGGGCAGCCTCGGGTGGAATGTTTTATAGCATGGAAGAAACCAAGGGAGGGCTGGGTGAAACTGTCGACGGATGGAGCATCCCGTGGGAATCCAGGGCCAGCTGCGGCCGAGGGTGTGTTACGAGGTGAGGATGGATCATGGTTAGGTGGTTTTGCGCTGAGAATTGGGATCTGTTCGGCACCATTGGCCGAGCTATGGGGAGTCTATTACGGCTTAGTCATCGCTTGGGAGAAAGGATATCGGAGAGTGGAGTTGGAGGTGGACTCCGAGTTGGTGGTGGGATTCTTACGCTCTGGGGTAAGCGACGCTCATCCCTTAGCTTTCCTGGTACGTATGTGTCATGGCTTCATATCAAGGGACTGGTTAGTCCGAGTTACTCATGTGTATAGGGAGGCTAATCGTCTAGCGAATGGCTTAGCCAACTATGCATTCTCGCTTCAGTTAGGTTTTCTTTCATTTGATGATTGCCCTGTTGTAGTCCATTCGATTATGTTAGCGGATAATAATGGGACCGAGGTTCCAAGATTTGTAAGGGTATAATTCTTTTTTCAAGTAAGTTAATAAATTGGTAGAGACAATTGTCTCTACTCCTCCTACCAAAAAAAAAATATTAGCACTTACAGTTTCTGATAATTTTACGTTTATAAAATGTCTTTTTTGATAAAGATTTACTTCAAAACCCTATACGAGTATCTTCAAGGAATTTCTCTGTAAATTTCGGGTTTGTAACGTATTTAATTTTATCAAAAAAATGAAACGTGCACTGTAAATTTCTCTGTAAAATTTTATCAAAAAACAAAAACGTATTTCATTTTCACGTGCACTGTAATATATGTGTGAGGAAAATTCATATAAGATGGAGAAAAAAAGAAAAGAAAAGAAAGGTATGTAAGATAGATACTCTTTTTACATGTAAGTCGAGAAAAGAGAAGAATCCAAGTCGGCAAGGTCCATGTGTAAGCCTCGGGAATACAAATACTTGTCCCACAGTGCGATCCAGAGTTCCTGCTACACACGTGTGAAGTCCTACTTGGCGCCACGTCAGGATTCATTGCATGGGAAATTTGAGGTTGATAACTGATACTAATATCATCTCCATTGCTTGGAGAAGTCTCAACTCGAAGAGGTACGCAGTTACACACGGTGAGATTTGTGGATGTGATTATTAAAGTATTTTTATTTTTATTAGCACTACTAGCTACTAGCTAGTGTCTCGCTGATTTTGGAGATGACCGCATTTTTAGATTGAACTTTTATAATACTGTAGTAGTATCTACAAATTCGCTTTTACTGCACTAAACTCGAAAATCGAATATTTTAAATAAACTGTTTTCGGACAGTGAGAATCAAATTCTGAGATCACATACATTACGGTGGAACTAAGACGTTTGCGAATTACACTTGGTTCATCCAAAATTTAGTACAAATATGATGCTGTAATATACTGATATACATGTATATATTTATATAGTAGTAGTAGGAGTATACAGTATTTTTTTAACAATGCATTTGATTAACTTTGACCAACATAACCAATTAATTATCATCTCTAACTTTTATGTAACGGAAGTTTACTTAAGTTGCTCCTTTACTTTTATGTAACGGATTATTTGATTTTTCATCGATTTCAACCAATAACAAAACCAGCTACTACACTCCTCTTAAATAGAAACATATTCCTAAACTAGTCTCCTCGGTTCGGAATCTTTTAATTGTTAAAAGAGAATTAACCATATGGTTAAAGTATTATAAAAATTAGTATATATATATATATATATATATATATATATATGTATATACATTAAAACCAATATGTACATTAAACGATGTGCTTTATGTATCGAAGGAAATATGTGAAATAATGTCACCATTGTTCTTCCCATTTTAGGGCGAATTTTATAACAGAAGCTCGTTGGTACTTTAGGTTTAGCCGTAGCCATAGGTATTGGTTGTTATCAAGAATGCCGTGTTCACTTCATCATGAACATCTCAAGTTAACAACATGCATTTTTTTTTTTTTTTTTTTTGATAAACCCTATCGGCTATCCGGTCGGCCCCGGTAGGAACGCACCGAGGTGCTACATAGTGGACTGGTCTACCGTGTTAACGGCTAGGCCCTTCGGGCTACCACTCTGCCTATCCCGAGTTTGGAATGCCTTCCGACTAAGTGCCAGGGGATAGTCAGGCCGTCTGCATTTCTGACTAGCAGGTAAACTAATTGGGCCAAAGCCCAACTGACAGACTACCCACAATAATGTTGATAACAGCAGGTGGAGTCGAAGCCAGGGTGGAGAGAATTTCACCCAAACAACTAGGGCCCACCAACCACTCGCCCACCACCATGTGGGTAACAACATGCATTTTATGCCACTAATCAGTTGTATATAAGTTTTTTTTTTTTTTTCGTCTAAATTTTTCTATTATATTATACGATTGAGGAATACAGGGGTGGAATACGATTTTAATACACAAAGCCGGCGGAAGACAAAGATATCCCCGGAAACTAAGCCCAAACGAGGGAAGCATAAAAAAGAACGGGGCATAGCCCTCAACAGACGAAACAAAAGGCAACGACTAAAAACAAGACCTCTAAAAAAGAGATTTGGTGACTTAAACTCCTCTAAACCAAGATGATCAAAGCCACTCACAAACAACGCAAGCAACGAAACCTCTTATAGTGAATCAAAACTACCTCTCACATGAAGTGAACCTAGACTTCTATTCCGGCAAGAACGAACCACGACAAAGAATTATAGTTCCACCAAACTTCTTCCGAAAGCGGCGATGTCGAAATCAACGACTTTTGAACGCCTAAGTAAAAGCCTTTGAACTGACCAGACCTCGATCGAGTCTTGAATGTAGAAACAAGGAGCGAAACCAACCTCAAAATCGGAAGACACCATACCCAGAAAAGCACAGCACAAGATCGAACCGGAGAGACCACCATAAAGACCATAAGTAGAAAAGAGGAGCAAATTCAAACAAATCCAATACAAAAGAGAGAACAAGCAAGTCAAAGCCACGCTCCGGACTAGTAACCAAAATCAGAGAATTAGGGGCAGTCAAACTTTAGATCCGGAACATACGACATAGGCGTACGAACAAGCCGACGAAATAGAGCCAACATAAAGCCATTCATCCTCTGATCCAGCCTAAGTCAACTATTAAACCACCCGAACAACAACTAAACCAAATACTTAGTCAACAAGACAAATGAAGCTAAAGGAGCAGGTTACCGGAGTCAATGACGCAAAGGATCAGAAACTGGCGAAGCACACGAAGAAGCAGATCCACCAACAACCAGATCGGCGAGAAACTACAACGACGAGGATACAAAACGACGAAGATTAGAGCAGATCCCGGAGCACATAGACACCAAGGGGCCAGATCTAATTCCCCCACAACCAAAATGACTCGCTGCCACTTTAACCTCGACAACAACCACACATTGAACAACGGAGAAGACTGAAAAGAGGGCTAACGAAGCAAGGAAAAACCAACAAGATCGTCTCACAGCTCCGGCGAGGAGCGCCGGAAACCGGAGAGGACAGATCTATAAAACGGACGAGACTTTTTCTGTGGCGGCTAGGGCGACTTCGAGAGAGAGAAAAGAAAACGATACTGGCTACATTAAAAATGTGTATATGTAACAGCGTGGAATTTATTTATTTAAATTTCTGAAAAGAGTAAGAAAAGTGTGCTGGAATTTGTAACAGCGTCACTGTTATTATTTGTCATTTCATTAGAAAGATCATAGATATAACATTGCTTATCTTACCTTTATTTTTACTTTATTGGTTATCTTATCTCTAATCCATAACAATACAAACTTCTTTTTAGCATATGAAAGCAAAAAGTAGTAATAATTAAGATGGAGTTATTTTTAAAAATATATCCAAAACTTGAAAATTTGAAAATATATCCAAAACTTGCAAATACTGTAAAACTTTTTGAAAAAAAATCCTTAAAGTTATTATATTTTACACAAGATAAAATTTTGAATTTGTGTAAATGGAATTTCTTTGATTAATTCGGTTTCAAAATGGTAACGTTCGATTTGAATATGTTTAAAATATTAAGTATACAAGTATACAACCATAGTCAAACACAAAAATCATCATTATTGAAAGTTTAAGATAAATGAAAGATATATGATCGGACAATCCATTAACTGTCAATCTAGAGAATTAAAATGGTGCTTTGACAGTTTTAACTATATAAAGAAACACAAATTGCGTGAGTATTAGGTCTATTTTGACTGAGAAACAATTAAACGAAGTATTAATTAACTACTAAAATAATAAATCAATAAAATAGTATTAGATTCACGTATAAGTCATGTTTAAAAGGGAATAAAACAAAATATTTTACATTTCTTTTTAGATCTTGAGGTCCACAGTTCCACCTTCGTACCAACACCCCAAGTGGTTCTTTAGAGAGAGAGGGCGTGAGAGAGATTTATAAGTTTCTCTTTGGGCATTACAATTTTTTTTGTGAACATAGAAACACTCAAAACTTAAAACAGAAAAATATGGGAGAGGTTCAAGAAAATCCCAAACTCTCATATCATCTTTTCAAATCTCCATGAATAATAATACTTCCTCTGTTTCAAAACAAGTGTCGTTGTAGAGAAATTTTTTTGTTACAAAACAAGTGTCGTTTTCGACTTTCAATACAAAATTTATTAATTTTAAAGTGCAGTTTATTTTTCTATTGGTTGAAATGTGGTTAGGTGTATAGGTAATTGTGTTTTTGTATAGAAAATATGAAAAATTAATTGTTTTCTTAATTTGTGTGAAAAGTCCAAAGATGACATTTTTTATGAAACAGATGAAGTAATAATAATGATTTTGTTCTAATTAGACTCTATTTTTTTGTTTTGGTTTTAGGAAGAGAAGAAACCAGAAGCAGCAGACAGGGCCGGTCCTGGACATAGCCAAATGAAATATTCGCCTAGGACCCCCGATTTTTTAGTTACAAAATAGGCCCCTAATTTTGATATCTCTGTGTTTGTATTCTCAGGTCCCCGCAAGGAACTGTTCTAAAAAGTAAAGCAATCTTTAATCAGAAAGCTCCTAAAGTTGCTTCCTTCTCTTCTCGCGGTCCAAATACTATTGCGGTTGATATTCTAAAGGTAAAACATTTTTGTGCTCTTGATTATTTATTTTATTTCCTGGCCTGAGAGACAATGGTTGGTGGTGTGTATTGCAGCCAGATGTAACAGCACCAGGAGTGGAGATTCTGGCTGCGTATTCACCTTTGAATTCACCATCTGAGGTATGGTTTGATAAAAGACATGTGAAGTACTCTGTTCTGTCCGGAACTTCGATGGCTTGTCCACACGTTGCAGGCGTGGCTGCGTACATCAAGACTTTTCATTCTGAATGGTCTCCTTCCATGATCCAATCTGCCATCATGACAACTGGTAAACAAGTCATATACATCTTTAACTTTCTTGTCTTGCAAAACTCATATCCAGCTTTTACTATCTTGTCTTGCAAATAACTTTGTTGGCAACTCTGTTCATAAACAGTTTATTAATTAATCTTTGCAGCTTGGCGGATGAATGCTACCGGAACCGGGGTTGCATCAACCGAGTTTTCTTATGGAGCAGGACATGTTGACCCAATAGCCGCTCTTAATCCCGGACTCGTCTATGAATTAGACAAAGCAGACCACATCGCCTTTCTTTGCGGTTTGAACTACTCTTCAAAAACCCTTCAGCTCATCGCCGGTGAAGCCATCACTTGCACTGGAAAGAGCTTACCAAGAAACCTCAACTATCCTTCAATGTCGGCTAAACTTTCGGAATCTAATAGCTCCTTCACTGTGACATTCAACAGAACCGTGACCAACCTCGGTACCCCAAACTCAACATACAAATCAAAGATTGTCATAAATCACGGATCTAAACTCAAAGTCAAGGTCTCCCCAAGTGTTCTATCTATGAAGTCCGTGAAGGAGAAGCAGTCTTTCATAGTGACTGTTTCAGGCAGCAATCTCAACACAAATCTGCCTTCATCTGCAAATCTAATATGGTCTGATGGAAAACATAACGTGAGAAGCCCCATTGTTGTTTATACTTATAGTGGTTAATGACTGATAAAGCATTATCACTTCACCATAATTATCAATCATCATATAATAAAAATCAATATTGTTGTTGTTGTTCAAGAATAGTGTTTCAATCTTATTTCACAGTTTCAGAGAGCTCTGCATCTATTTGAATTTAAAACTCATTCATATATCCTAAACACACAAAATTCAATTCAAGCATTCTCATTATAACAATCAAGAATCCTGTTAGATTTAAATTCTAGGTTAAAATTTTGATAGAGCTAGCAGAAAACTAGCTCAGCGAATTGAAACAATAAAAATCAAAGAAAAATTGCAAAGCTAGGGATGATGCTACCCGGAGAATTTGGCCGAGAAGAAGCTTTCTCATGAAGAGGAAGACGGCGACAATGGAGATCTTGTACCGATCGATGGAGAGACGCGTGGATGCGGGTCCATGGTAAGATTCCAACACCGTCCGCACCAGATGTTTTACTCCCGCTTCTCTAATTATAGTTATTGAGTCAGATATGTTTACAAATGGACCCGTATCCAAACTAAATATGGCCATATTTTTTTTGGATATGAATGCATTCTGATGTGTGGGAGAAAGTCCTATGAATTTAGCTCATACACTTGTGTTTATATTAATTAATTGTTGATAATTCACAAGTGTTTATATTATTGTTAAAATTTGAACTAACACATAAATTCACTTAGTAAAATTCGATTAGCTCATACACTTGTCAAGTTTTTAGTTTACAAATTTTAACTATATAAATTTAAGTTGAAGCATGTTTTGGATATGATTAAGTATATTTTATTTGCAACAATTGAGCATTTCTTAAGCAAATTTTAAGTATATGAATAGTTTAATTGGTCAAAGTATTGCCTCTCGTCAATGCGGAAGTTGCGGGTTCGAGATCCATCAATCATGTCTTTGTCTAAGCCCCAAACCCGTAATTTCCGCCTTAACGGGAAAATGCTCTAACCAACTAAACTAATCATATGTTTAAAAATTGCTTAAAAATGATCAAATGTTGCAAATAAAATATACTTAATCATGACCAAATCATGTGCTTCAGAAATGTCGAATAATATTAATAACACTAATTTCCCGAACATTGCTAACTTTATGGGAACCACATTGACCAAAAAACTGAATATACCAATTGTAAGAAAAAAAAAATTAAGGAATATATTTATTTATTATAATAATTTTTTTTGTACATGTCGCACTGATTAGATGATCAGTACACAAAGATCCATATCTTTTGAGGAGAAATAGATCGCATAGTTAAAAGAGAGAAAGTATATAAGATATGAATTTGAATGATTTGTTTATTAAAAGGAGATTACAAGAGATTATATTGGAATACATAGGAGATCATACTAATTAACTTTAATATGAAAGAATACTATAATTAACTTTAAATTATATGAAGAAAGACAATTAAATATCGTAAATGTTGAGTTGGATCATATATTGAAATATTATAGGGTATCCATACTCCATATGCTTGAAGAAATATCTGAGAGTGAAATAGTGAGGTAGGAGAATCAAATAGAGGTTGCACTTTCGGCAACCCTAGATACAATAACTGATGTTCACTAGATTTTGTACTTGCACGTTGCGCGTGGTTTTGATTTAAAATCTCTTCGGAAGAGTGGAACTTGTAGCGAGATCATACCAAGTTGAGAAATAATGAGCATATTAAAGATTTAAAAACGAAAAAAAAAACATGGGAGTCGTTCTTCTACCTGTTGTTGGAGAGAGGAGCATGAAGGAAATGAAAATTGCAGACACAAGCCGAGGAGAAAACTTCATCTTTCTGACTAAATGAGAGAGAGAATATAAATTTTTGGAGAGATAACTGTTCGTAGTCAACTTAATAATTAATTAATTAAGTAATTCATTGCATAATACTATTACCATGTTTTTTTTTGGCGGCAAATAAATTACCATTAACCACTTCGTCCGTTACAAATTTATTTAAAAGTTCTGAAAGACTGAAAACTATCCTTTATTCACATTCCACGTCAACCTATTCGCCCAAGGATTTGATTGTCTTTTTGAAATCTTAGTAATTAATTTAAATAACATTATTAGCTAATAAGATTAAGTTAATCTGATTAACCCACTAAAAATATACTCCACTAACCCTTCCCGCCTTTTTCACCTCACAAAATACATTGAAAGTTAATTGTTGATAATTCCACAAGCGTCTATATTATTGTTAAAATTTGAACTAACACATAAATTCACTTAGTAAAATTCGATTAGCTCATACACTTGTCAAGTTTTCAGTTTTCAAATTTTAACTATATAAATTTAAGTTGAAGCATGTTTTGGACATGATTAAGTATATTTTATTTGCAACATTTGAGCATTTCTTAAGCAATTTTTAAGAATATGAATAGTTTAATTGGTCAAAGTATTACCCCGTCAATGCGGAAGTTCCAGGTTCGAGCTCCATCAATCATGTCTTTGTCTAGGCCCCGATGTCTTTGTCTAGGCCCCGAACCCGCAATTTTCTCCTTAACGGGACAAATTTCAAGCTTTTGCCTACCCGCAAGACTGAACCATTATATGCATGTCTCAAATTCAAAGTTATATGTGGTTCTGCAAATATATGCATGTCTCACATTAGAACTTTGAATTTTTTTCTTATAATATATATACACATATAACAAAGTTCACTAGCTTTTGAAGGAGGGCAAATACAACTAACATGATGATCACAATGGCTGACACATGAGAGAGTTTCATTTTGATTAGAACGAAAGAAGGATTTGTTTTGGTAGAACTTGAGTAAATAGGGTACCACTATTTATAATAGAAAAGATGTACCGTAGTAAATTTTATCTGTTAAATTTATGTAGACAAAAATGATTTAGTAACTTTTATTTGTTAAGTATGTATGATTCTAAATCATGTACCATATATTTTGGCATTACCAAAATTCTAATATAATGTACTTATAAAAGAAATTACATCACATTCTATCAAAAGACATAACCAATATTACT